TCACTCTCACTCTCACTCTCACTGTCTCTCTCTCTCTCTCTCATCTCTCTCATCTCTCTCTCCTCTCTCTCTCTCTCTCCTCTCTGTCTCTCGTCTTTCCGTCTCTCTTCTCTCTCTTCTCTCTCAGCAGGATCCGGGCAAAGAGCCATATAAAGGACTCTTCACCTGGAATCGCTTGCCCCGCCGAACTTGTGCAAGGCGTCCTGCCTTTTGCCTCCCCTCTCCCCCTCCTTGTCTTCCTCCCACCTTCCCCCCCCTCCCTCCCTCCCTCCCTCGTCCCTCTTCGCAAGTTCGACTCCGTCCTGTCGTCGCTCTTTGGCATGCGGTTAGCGTTGCGTATCTTGCGGACGCACTCGCTCACTCTCAGTCTCAGTCTCACTCTCACTCTCACTCTCACTGTCTCTCTCTCTCTCTCTCTCATCTCTCTCATCTCTCTCTCCTCTCTCTCTCTCTCTCTCCTCTCTGTCTCTCTGTCTCTCGTCTTTCCGTCTCTCTTCTCTCTTCTCTCTCAACAGGATCCGGGCAAAGAGCCACATATAAAGGACTCTTCACCTGGAATCGTTTGCCCCGCCGAACTTGTGCAAGGCGTCCTGCCTTCTGCCTCCCCTCTCCCCCTCCTTGTTTTCCTCCCACCTTCCCTCCCTCCCTCCCTCCTCCCTCTTCGCAAGTTCGACTCCGTCCTGTCGTCGCTCTTTGGCATGCGGTTAGCGTTGCGTATCTTGCGGCCGCACTCGCTCTGCAGCCTCTGACAACCCTCCCCGCAGACTTCCGACAGTCCGCTCTGCAGGTGGATCTTTGCGATGCCACCGCGACGTCTCCTTGACTGCCTCCAAAAAGAGCGCCATGTTTTTTCCTACCTCGCTGCCCTCCACTTTCCCATTCTGGAGCGCTAGCTTTCGCCCCCCCCCCTTGGCCTCAAGTTACTAAATACATGCTCAACTCGAATATTTCCGGGTTGAAAAGTAGTATTCATCATCAGCAGGCACGGCTCGGTACTGTAGAGTCTCCATATGGGCCCAATGGCCATAACATGTAATAAATCATCGAAATGCCCAATAGATGCTCAAGTAACACCATTACACGCTCCTGATATCCGCTCAGAATCCGTTTTTTCGCTCAGAGTCCGGTTTTTCCGCATCTAGTCCGGGTCCCTATTTTCTCCGGGTCTGAAAAGTTATTTCTCCGGGTCAATACATGCTCAAGAAAAAAACAAACATGCTCATGCTATTTTCCAATTATTGCATATGATATCAAGTGATCAATTGGTGTATATGCACAATGGGAAGGTCTTCTTCCACCGAGGCGGCACCATAAGGGATATCGCGTTCACCATTTTTGCTATTGCATGTATTACATGCCATTGCTCAAGATAAACATTGGTACACCAAAATCAATAATGTACATTTAAAAACATGTACAATTTCTGGTTGATACGGTAAAGCTGGTATACGGTACGTGGTAGTGGTGTTAGGGACAATTTTTGGGGACCATTGGACCACTGACATTTACCATGCTTTCTCATCAAACAATACCAGTGCAGTAAGAAGCATCGCACCGCCGAGGAGGAGTGCCAGCAGCCCTGCTGAGCACCGCCACGCTGCCCTTCCCCGGACTCGGGGATGAAGTTGCAAAGCTCTTAGTCAGCCGGGAACCCCAATTTCCACAGTCAGCTGGTTGCGCCATGTAGTGCCAAGGATGATGCTCGCCGTCGGTGTTGTTCCAATGACAGAAGGAGTTGGTGGTTTCAATTGCGAAGTGCGGTGGTGCCCAAGCTATGAATGGACAGAGTGTTCATCGCAGCTTGGATGGGGATTCATTTTAAACCCAGTCAGTGTTGTCACCCGAGAGACAGCTAAAGATCTCAAAGTTGGAACGTGTTTGTTCCACAAATTCAGTCAGTCTCCCGTCTACCGTTGGAGCTCTTTTGTTCATCTGCATGTCAGGCCCAGAGACCCAGCACTATGCCATGTTCATTACTGACACACAGGCGGGAGGGGTTTGGTCTTTTGGTCTTTCTTTCCTCAACTTGTTCTCCTGCCAGGTGAGTGTCTTTAACTACTGTAGATGTCTTTAGATTCTTTAGATGTTCAACAAAGCTACTACTGTACATGTCTTTCATGATCTTTCAATTGGTGTTCATGATCCTCCTGCCCTCTGCCCGCTGTGTTTGAGGTGTCCGTGGGCGCGGGCGAGTCCCATGCGCAGCGCCTCCGGGTCCATCCGCCCTTTGCGGACATCGGCCTGCGGCTCTTCCAAGCGTCGCCCGCGTGCCTGACGCTGGTGAGGAGCTCGGTGCGCGTGGCCTACGAGAACCCCTTCTTGTCCGCGGAGGAGGTGGACCAGCTCGGTCAAAGTGGTTTGGGGAAAGAAGCCTCGTGAAGCAGTGAGAAGAACCAACAGGGAAGTGGATGGCGCCTGCTGTTTCCTGACGTTTGGTTTCATGGCGTCTCCAAAAAGATCAAAAAATACCGTTTGCTGTGGTCCACACCCTGGTATATACATGGCATCAACAACCAGAGAGCATCAGCATTAGCAGCAGCGAGGGCAAGAAACACTTACCGTGGACAGCCGACAACTAACTGATAGTTGGCAACGAGCCGCAACAACAACGACAACAAGAGGAACAAAAGCACGAGTAACTCAACATTGGCAAATAATAGCCGATAGCCTATCAACGTCAGCGAGCAACCACCCACCAGTCGCTGAGGCGACTCTTCTTCAATTATGTTATGCCGACACCAGTCCCTATAAAGCAAGGGTCTTTGAGTATTTGGAAGGTGTCTCCACTATCGCAACAAAGAGGTGATATAACATTATACCGCCGGTATATATATATATATATGAACCCTTTGCCCTTGTTTTTGGATCTCTTTCTAAACCCACCAGTTTGGATATGATATGATCATGGCATGCCTATAAGGTGCCAACATTCCCAAATCGTCCCGCCTCGCAGACCGCGCGCCTGGTGATCATACCGGACTGACCGCCTCGCAAGGTCCTGAATCGCTTCAACCTGACGATGGAGATGGATTTCATGCTGAATGCCTCACATGGCTTTGTGTCCTCGGAAGGCTGGTGTCCCGGACTTGTTGACCTATCGTCAGTCGAGCACCCGACCCTCCAACAACCACCTTGGGAACTCTAGGTTTCAGTCCATGTGAGCTTTTCTTCTACGGTCCAGATGGGTGAGCACCAGGCATGGCACATGATGGAACCAGAAGAAAGCTTTTTGGGGCGTTCAACCCTCCACCACCCCAACCAGAGGAAGTATCAGATTTTGTGTTGGAGCCAGATCTGAGGTTTGCAGAGGATTTGGTCAGCCGGCACCAGAACCAGGGCAACTCCACAGATGCACACCTTTCAGGTGGCATTCTACTGTTTACTATGCGCCCCTTGGTGCAGTGAACAGAACCTAGTGTGTGTGTGTGTCTGTCCACCCCTGGACAAAGGGTTTCCTTCGACCACTCCAATCAGGCA